GTACTCCACTTCCGGTGTGGTGGCCTATATGGGTTGTTGACATCACCGCCGCGGCAGTGATTTTGTGGCGCGCTTGCGCATAGAAGCCAAGGGCGTCGCTTTGCGAACCTCGGAATGTTTGGTTGGCAACCGAGAGCAACAAGCTGCCAAGGCGAGCGCTGCGATAAACGCAACTGTAAAGCGATGTAGTAACTGTCATGAGGTAGAACGCCGCGCAACAAGACAGCTTCCTCATCCATGCTCCCTTACAACGGCTGTCTTCACTGGAGGCCATCAGCTGGATATACAACTCAGCCCGTTCAGCAAGGAGCGGCCTGTCGTCGCCAGCTTTGTGAAAACCCCGGTAAGCGGCCTGCGGAGCTGGCGAAGCATGCATGATGCTGCTTCGTCGGAATATTGCGGTGCTGCACGACATGATGTCTCCAAGCAGAATGGCTAGCGTCATGCCATTGCAATCTGAGCACAGCACGGCGGGTCAGCGCGCCTGCTGTTTGTCTTCGTTCTGCTGAGTCAGGAACCCGTTCGGCGCCATAAACCGATGACAAGCTCCTCACAATCCAATGTCAAACCACTCGGAGTGCTCACACATAACGGCACAGAGCAGGTGCTGGCAGGCTTCCAAGGCGGTCAAGACGTCGTGAAGCCCCGTCTGAGCGACCTTGTACTCCTGGTTGGCGGCGGCAGCTTGATTCGGAGTTGGCTGATTCGGAGTTTGTGTGTTAAGGCGTGGAATGTGCGTGTCGGGAATGCGGTGTCAACGGATCATCAGATGCGATCCGCGTCCCTAAGGCGAAGGTGATTGATGTCACTGTGACTCTGCGATTCACGTCACAGAAAGGAGAGTGGTGTCTGACATCGAAGTTCAATCGAATCTAAGAAGTCATTGGCGTGCCCGAATGCGACATTTTTGCAAGGAGGAGTTGGCTACAGCATTGACATCCTGTACCAGGCCTTGACTCTCACGACAGCACCAATGTAAAGCGAGTTTTTAACACAGTCAGTGGATAGCCGTTTCATTTCGCGTGCGTCCTTGTGACATTTTTGTGTGTACGGTCCTATCTGTAAGCTGACGAGACTACCCTGAAGGAAGATGACCTCAGGCAGAGGGAAGGTGACCTGGGCTTGGGGTCCTATGCAACTCGTGCCGTAAGGAGCTTACCTGCAGCTCGTGCCGTAAGGAGCTTACCTGATATACTGGGCGTATGTCATCTGTTCCGATGCCTCAGGTAATCTTCACAGATGGTTTTCACAGCAATTGTGCAGGGAAACAAACTTGATTGCTTCGGTCTCTACTGAAAGTCAGTGACTGACAATAACACGAGCATACATAAGCAATATGCAAGGCACCGATAGCCTGTACGTAATATGCAATACGTTTCTTTATAAGGCATGCGAGGACTTTCTAGCAAATCTTCTAAAGTGATTACCCCCGCCGAATGTCTTGGCAGTTTTACTTTTCTAAGAAGAAGAGAAGGCAGTGAGTGCCAAGGGTAGCTTGGCACCCATTGCGGATAGCTTTCTATCCGCAACTCATGCCCCAAAGAGCGACATGCTTCCCATGCTTGCAATGGAGGCAGGAATGGGGCTTCGAGACGCTTCGTCCGTACGTCGGTTATAAATACTGCACCGCAATGGTGCTGTCTTATTTGCTGTACCGCTTCCCAATGTTGGTGCGTCACCTGGGGTACTGCCCACCAACACTGACACCTCACCTGTGGTGCTGCCTCCCAATGTTGGTACCTCATTTTCGGAAAGATAATGCAAACATTTTCAGGTGATGGGTTTATGAGTCCAGAGCTCACGCTAAGCAGTCTTTTTTGCGGGATCGCTGACCCTTACCATTCGATCGTGCAATTCTAGGCCAACAGCAGGATTTATTTGCGAAAGTTTAGCGTTCCACATCGTTGGACACTGTCCGCCCTGCCGTCTGACGTCACCTGACCTTTGGTGCGGCAGCTGCCGCCGTCTACAGGCCATATCTGTCATGGGCAAGCAGCGAGCGCCTGCAAGCGCTCTAAACAAGTGACTTATCTGGACGGACAAATTCGCGGTAACACTTCCCAACGCTGCTACTTCATCTGTGGTGCCGCCTGTCGACGCGGCTAATTCATCTGTGGTGACGTCTCTCAACGCTGCTACTTCACCTGTGGTGCCGTTCCTCAATGCTCATACTTCACATGTGGTGCCACTTCCCAACGCTGCTACCTCATCCGTGATATCGACGTCCATCGCTAGCTTGCATGCTGAAGTCAGAACTGCAAGAATGCTATCAGGCAAAGAGCGATGGCTCGGCAAGACTGCCCGAGCCTGGAGATGTAACAGCTTCCCAGACACCTCATAAGTACTGCTTTGACTCACCAGCTGCTTTTGACGTTTTAAAAGTTTAGAAGTTTCTCAATTTGTATGATAAATCTGCACACAACTTGTGTGCATTGTGGATTTGGCTCGAATGTCGCCACAACTCATAAGGTTTCCATGATGTCAGAATTTACCGAGTGTGCGTCACCGAGTATCTGCCCAGCTGGCACAAACTCAAACAGCTCGCACCGCAATAATTTCGTCCCACTACCATCCCGTCGTTCAGATTCCGGGTTTTGAGGTAGCTTTGTTGTCGTTGTTTTTTCACCTACACCCATCAATTAATGATTTGGTTCCAAATGAATGCTTGCTTAAGGGTTAAACACGTCTGGCGTTAGCGCTTGACCAACTTTGAACAAATTACAAAATTATAAAACCGCTAATGCTTGACCGCACGCCTCCTGAAGCTCTGATCCATCATCGCACTGCTCCAGCAGTCCCAGCGCCGCCACCTGGGCGGTCATTTGACTGAGCGATGTGGAGCGACCCATGCGTAACATAATGTTTGGATGGTGATGCGCAGCAAGGAGGCCAGGGTCACTCATGTCAACGGCTCCAGAGAAAAGGAAAGGGGGCTTGATGAGCCATGTTGTATCTGCTTCATTCAACCCATTCCCTCTGAACACCGTGGGGAATGTTTCAGGGGGTACTCACAGCGTATCGGCATGTCAGCTTAAAGGTCATGCTAAGGCTCATGCTGTACAGGCGCTACTGAAGATGATTTAGATGACACTGCGACGATCGCCTCATTCGAGATTTAGAAATATCGGTCCAGCAATGCAGATGAATGCATCAGGGCTTGGTCTGAGCTCTACATTAAGGTCTTCGGCGATAAGATGAGGAGCAGGAGAACTGCGGGGCCTAGGCTTGGCGGTCTTGTAGCATGTGTTGGGTCCGACCTTGAAAGCTCAAAACTTGTACCTACGTTAAAAGCTGGTCCAGCTCACACAGAGATCCCATGAGGCCCATGCATTCAAACAATGCTGAAAGCCATTTGAGCCAGGACTGTGCACTGCCGATATGGAGAACGGGTTCGGCCCCGGGACTCCCCTGCGTCCAACACCGGACCCTGCCGTGGCGACCGAAGCTGCCGCCATCCTCTTGCACCACTCGTCCACACCTCTTCAGGGTCTGGAAAGGCGCGCTATAAAGTGTCCGGGTGGTCGGGGGGAGCGCTTAGTCGGCGGCCGTCGCGAGCTAGGGGAGAAAGTGTCGCCGTCGGAGAGAGGCGTACACGAGCCGCCGGTGGATCTGCCGGCCGACAGACGGCCACAGAAGCGCCGGCGCTCGTCGACGGCGGAGCGGACTCAGTGCGTCGCGCCGGGCCCGAGCGGAGCGGCGCCGACGCAGAGCGAGCGAGCGGCGCCGGTCGCAGCGGGTTCTGAAGTGACCTGAGCGGACGGCCGCCCCGGCGCGGGTCACCATGAAGGTTCTGCTCTGGGTGAGTAAGCTCTCCGGGACGGACCGGATGCCACAGGCCAGGCCAGCGGCGCAATGGTATGGGAAGGTATTGGAATAAGACATGCTGCATTGAGGGCGGTTTGTACAGTCAGTTTATTGGAGATGGTAGCCATAGATTATGGTACGGCAGGTAAGCCATTCTTGAGCAAATGATCCGCAGCAAAAGGTCCGCAGCAACTGACGAAAAGTTTGGGGGACATCCGAAACCGTTTGTTTATCTGTAACATCCGCAGATACCAATGCTGCGAATTCTAGGCACTGGTTTTGGCTCTTCCCCTCATGCGCAGAAGCTTGCAATATGTGACAGATTGATCGTGATGATGAATGAGAAAAAAGACCCTGGCTGATTATAGTTGACAAATTGCCATTTTTTATCAGAAAATAGCTCCATGTTGTCCATCAAAATTCAAGAACAAACGGACGACGTGAAAATCATGAGCAAGTTATGCTCATGTGACGACGTAAATAATCGTTGTAAATATTCATACGCGTCCAGACGCAAACCTCACAGCAATATCAATGCCGCGCAAGTAAAAAAGAAGAGATGTAACTGTGCTGCATTATCTTAGAATTAACGCATCTTTAACATCTGAAAGTAACAAACATTCACATCGGATTTGTAGAAGATAACTAGACTTTCAACACAGCAGCCACATCCATCTTCAGCACGAGCTCTGTCTTGCTTCAAAACATGCGTGACAGCGCACGTTAAATGTCACCCCATCTCCCTCTTGAGATTGCATCTTCCCTGCTCATAAAAGTCAGCGCAGTGGGGTCCCGCAGTCTTCATCCAACTTACGGCCCCTCTCACTTTCGAAATGAGAAGGCAAAGCACTTTAGAACAATGAAAGACTATGAGCTAACATTCCATGGTCATACTCTACGCCGGAAGGGCTTGGACAAACGCAGCATGGTTTCTGTACTTTTGTACAATGCTGTCGGAGCATTCCGCATGCATAGACGGCGCATGATGCGCTGTTGACACAACTTTTATGCTAAAGTTAGGGAAAAAATAATGGTTTGTGAGACGGAGAGCTTACCAAGAGTTAGGGAAGGAGTAGTGCGGGTGTAGAGGATGAACGCGGTGAGATGGCTCCTTAGTGCTATTTTAGGCAGCTAGAAGGCATCAATATCCATTTCATCCATTTCAATAACCTGGAAATCACCTCAACGCCTGATTGTTTATAGACCCATTTATCGACCGCTGTTTAGGTTGGCTCGGCCACAGTTGTAAATTGATCATGATGGTGAACGGTGCTTAAGCCCAGGGATTATAAAACCATCTGCGCTCTTCGCTTGGGAATCAAAGGCTCTTCTTGTCCATTAATGTTTTCATATGAAACAGGTGGGTACAACACAAAATGCTCGATAGCTCGTAGTGGGCTGAACCAAATTTCTTATCTGTGTGATATTCACAACATAACAATATGAACTAAACGGCTTGTTCTTTTTTTGCCACCCGTATTGCCAATGGTAGGTTGACGGACGGTTATTTCCAAATGTTTAAAGATGACACCTAAAATGAAGCAGCTAAGCCTAGACATAAAGAAAAAAGACCCTCATCTCGTCATTTTTTGGCACTATAAGCTGGGAACTCTCGTTCTGATGATACTCAACCTTCATTTCCCAGGAGATGCTAGTTAAGCAACAATATCAAACCGACATTGGGTATATTGACAAAACTCACAATTTTGTCAAGAGTTTTGTCTATATCTGGTTGCTTGATAAGGTTGTCCAGATAGTATTCCTTGGTGCACTGAAGCAACACTCAGAGAAATTAAATTGTTTACGGTAGCAGCGCTCCTCTCCCGTCGTCTGACCGGTTATTTTGCCACACTCCCGGTGTTCCCACACCAAAATAACTCAATGTGATTTGTTCCATCGCTCTTTCATCACGCACACCGGCGCGGCGCTCATCACTCTTACCGCCTGAAAGCGGCAATTTATCGGCTCTATTAGTGCTGGCTGGCCGACTGCCTCCAGCGTGATTTAATATCACCTACTGGCTTTAACACGGCTGGTCGGCCGGCCGGCCGGGTACCGGGCAGCCGGCATGCGCCACGCATGGTTACTGCCACCGGAGACCCACGGGCCAGTGCGTGACTGGACCACCAACAGAGCTCAGCAGGGCTGGGCGCGCGTCATGTGGGAGCCCGATCAGCTTTACAGCTGGCATGCGATGAACGGCTCACCGACTCCGAAAAATGCGCCGACAATATGCATAATTGCCACAACGTCCAAGAATATAAGGGCGTTATGAAACCTGATTGATTAAGAGCCATCTTCGAACAAAGTGTTGTTTTAATGCTGTTCGAATTCACCTGGCGGTCCTAGGAGTGACGTTGCTTCACTCTTTGGGACATGAGCATGTCACACATTAATTGGGGTATTACGTTATGCGTATGTATGTATTGCTTCATACCTGGACACACCACCCACGTATGCAGCTTTCAATACTTTCTTTATGCTTCCTTCCTTGTGTAAAATGCAAGTTTGCATTTTTTACCCAAAGCTCTCCAAGCTACACAGCCGGTCTTTGCGTTCCACAATTAGAATATCCCAGAAGCCAGAAGATACCAGAATATACCAGAAGCGAACCTGCCAGCCGTCATCATCCCCACCATCTGTGGGGGGCGGTTGTTGACGCCGGTGGCTTCCCCTCCCCCTCGAGAGGTCACCGACTCTGACCGCGCCTCGAGAAGCATCAGAGCATGCGGCGTGACCGCTCGCCCACGGGCGTCACGTCACGGCCCGTCACGGCCCGTCACGGCCCAGCCGTGACCTCTGCGACCAACGGCGTGACGGCGGTAAACACCGGCGCATCGTGAACGTCGCGCAAGTGTGGCCCAGCGTCACCGCAGCGGCAAGCGGGGGGGGGGGGGGGCATCTGTCACCCGCGGGGTCATTACCTGGCGGGACGGGTCACGCTGGCTGGACCGGGGAGGGACTGAGGGGAGAAGGGCGCGGGACGAGGTCAGGGTTCGCGTAGCCATTGCTCTCGGGCGTTGGAGGTGGGATCATTGACACACCTTTACTGTGAGAAAGCGTCGGCCTAAGGTACATAGCGGTCACGCAAAAAGTGAGAATAACGGTTACCCACGTGAGTTAAATCAAAGCCAACATAGATGCAAAGAAATTTGGCGTCCACAGAGGTCTGGTATTATGTGGCATTGCAATGAATACCCCTGGCACTGTTAAGCTGAATTTCAATTAAAGGCCTTGCTGAAACATAACACTTTCGTTGAAATCAATTGAAACGAATTGTTTTTAGTAATCCTTCATTTTCTTGCAAACCATTTCTAAGCAAACCAGTGTATTTTTATTAGCATTGAAATATTATACCAATGTGACATACATCGCAGGGCGAGCAGTAATCATACACACTCATAGAACCCAAACTGATAACTTGGTTTAAATGTCCATGACGTCAATGGTTTCGGGCTTAAACCTGTCCAGACATCACAAGTAATCCATCTCGTAATCCATCTCATCATCAGTAATCCATCTCGTACTGTGGGCTTCAACGGAGCCACACCCGAGTTACTTGTTGATGACCTGCAAAACATGTGAGCATCAGCCACCGCGACGCAGCACCTTAACGAACGCACCCCGGACATGGCAGGCAGGCCACTGTCACGGTGCCGGAAGGGTTTCGCCCTGCGGCTGAGCGAAGGCGTCGGTCGAGAAGACGGCACGTGGGCGTCGTGCGAACCGCTTTCCGAGGAGTGTGGTGCGAGAAAGTCATGCACGTGGTCGCGGAAATGTCAGACTGAGAAGGAATGTCACGATTGCGAGCTGCCCCCGGCCACATGTGAAACTAAGCAAGAAACTAAGAGGCGGCTAGCTGATCTTCTTCAAATGTTGTTGAAGGTGTCGTGGGATTGACATGACCAACGGTCCTAGCATTGTTTCAACAGTGAGGATAACATATAACAGTGAAAGTGCGCATGCGTGATGCAGGCATCGCTTTGTTAACTTAATTGGCTGGTTAGGGGTGCTGATAGTGTAGCGGTCAACGCGCCTGCGGTAACCACTGGTGCTGATAGTGTAGCGGTCAACGCGCCTGCGGTAACCACTGCGCATCCGGGAAATCAGAGATACTGGGGTTCGATTACCCACGGTATCCGCCCTTCCTGCCAGGGTGAGGGGTCAGGCGACGCCATACAGCCTCAGTGCGTCGTAAAGGCCCAATGACGACGAATTGACTGGTTCTTCTGCCTGGAATCATATGTCGGCTTCTGGGCACCATCTATATGAAGCCGTTTTGAATTCAGCTTCCAGTTTATGATTTGTCAATACATGTACTCCATGTCCGCAGTTCAGGCTCCGAACTTCCTGCACTTTAAAAATCTTAAACCCAGGTTTATAATGCAAGGAAATTACTAGCTAACGACAAAGTCGTGCAACAGATGTCAGCTTAATTCCCACATTAGATGCAACTTAATAGCCTCAAATGAAGTGTTGGTACATAAGGTTCGGCGCAAAAAGTTTGCTGGAAGCGTTCACGTTCTAAAGGCTGCGGCACGCTTATTCTTTTACCCACCGGTCTCGGCAGCAGTTTTTTGGGCGCACGGCTTCGAAATGCCTGCATGATCTTGCTGGTTTTTAGCCCGTGCAGACACGTCGTGGCAGTTCAGTCCTTTTAGCTAATGACGCCATTTCAAACAGAGATAATTACGGGTGAGACGGCTCGTGCCACACGAATGACGAGGACCTACGGCATTGTTTGCACGAGCAAGTGCAAGCGTCTAATTGGAGCGATTAACTGCTGTCGTCGAGTTGCCGGCATGGTGTTAGCAGAACATCCATTTAATATGCTGCCGTGCGTAACTGCAAATGTGAAGAACTTGTACATCATGGAGGCACCTTTACTCCGTGCCGGCGGCCGTGATTAAACATTCCAGTGGGAACCCGTCGCCGCCGCCACCGCCGCCGCCGCCACCACCGCTCCGTTGTCTCCCCGGGGCGGTAAAACCCCGC